GTCAGAGAGGCCAGATTGAGATGGTTTGGACATGTGCAGAGGAGGAATAGTGGTTATATTGGTAGAAGGATGTTGGAGATGGAGCTGCCAGGCAAGAGGTCAAGAGGAAGGCCAAAGAGGAGATATATGAATGTGCTAAAAGAGGACATGAAGTTGATTGGGGTGAGAGTAGAGGATGCTGAGGATAGAGTTAGGTGGAAACAGATGATTCGCTGTGGCGACCCCTAACGGGAACAGCCGAAAGAAGAAGAAGAAGAAGAAGATGGTAAGGAACCATCTGCAATGGCTTCATGGACCACCAGGGGGCCATTGATAATTGTTCAAAACTCCTGTGATAATTCAATTTTTTACTTGTGGTCAGAGGTAGAACAAATACTTAGATGTTTTACTTATACGAAAAGTACGGATACGACAATGTAAATATATGATGTTACAAGTAAAAGTCCTGCATTCAAAATGTTATTTAAGTAAAAGTACAAAAGTATTAGTTTCCAAACATACTTAAAGTACTAAGAGTAAAAGTGTGAATCATGCAGAATAACACATTTAATGTTAAGGTATCATATGATTGGATTATAATTACTAATTCATTATTGTATTAATCACGTTTAATGTTGCAGCCGGTAAAGGTGGAGCTAATTTAACAACAAGTGTATGCTTATGATCTGAAGTGCTGCTTGTTAATTTTCCACCAGAGATCAATAAAGTCTTAGGATTTTACTGTAATGTTTGTATTAATTCCGGGTTCAGAGCCTGGGCCGACTCAGTTCCTTCCCGTGTGGAGTTTGCATGCCCTCCCTGTGCCTGTGTGGGTTCTCTCCAGGTACTCTGGCTTCCTCACACAGTCCAAAAACATGCATGCATTACGCTGACTGGCGACACTAAATTGCCCCTAGTAGCGAGTGTCGGTGTCTGGTTGGTGACATGTCCAGGGTATACACCGCCTCTCGTTCAATATCGCTCTGGATGCGCTCCAGCCCCCCTTGTTAGGATAAGCAAAATAGATAACGAATTGATGGATGGACATACCTCAAAACTGTACTTAAGTATAGTCCTTAAGTAAATGTACGTAGTTACTTCCCACCACTATGGGATTCTTATATGTTTTGACCCAGAAGGATCTGCAAAACATTCCAGCATAGCATTTGTGCAAAAACATTACCCTGTCAGAACAACATGTCATGAGAAGAAACATTTCCACAGGGGCTGAACAAGGGAGTTATAACTAAAAGGCATCCAATTAAGAAACCCCCATTACCTCATTACCTGCAGGCGTTATAATCATGGATATATTAGGATTTTAATAACACTATCAAGTATACTATGCACTGTGTAGCTATTTACATCATATTTTCTTTCTGGAGTATCCACTGATATGTAAGCTCTAACCTGTGCAATTAGTGCAATCAAAAACCTAAAACTCAAACCAAAAACTTCAGCCAAAACAAACTTCAACCTCAAACTTCAACCAAAATAAAAGCCAAAAACTTTCAGTTGGTTTACGTTGTTGCAGATTATGCCTCATTCATTTGGAATTAATGGTATGTAATAATTCAGATGTTATGTAAGAAAAACATTTGTTTGTTGCGCAATAGGTTTCTCCGCCCCTCTTCAGTCGCACTGCGCATGCGCAGTATCACGTACACGCCGCCATTGAAGGAGCCGCGATCAGTAGGAAAGGGTCAGAGAGGCATTTCGACAGGCAGCGGCTGAATGTTTGTCATGTCTTTAACTTGAACTTTACCTTTAGATACAATTTTTAACACTTGACACGTATTCTTATCTTATTCCCGTGGACGTTTTTGGTTGACAGCTGTGTATCGTCACTACTAAGGGACGTGTTTTTACCAGATTCTAGAAGTAACGGGCAGTCTAGAGGCTGTAGCATGCTAGCTAATGTTAGCTAGCGACCTGGCTAGTTGCACACGAGCTGAGCGTTGCTCGGTGGTGGGGTGTTTTGCCTATAGTGCCGTTTGATGGATCCGAGAATTGCCTGGTTTCAACCAGAACAACGTGGACCTGCTAACAACCTGTGGATGCAGATTTGGGAGACGACACAAGGGCTCGGGTTCCTGAATGTAAATAACGGCTACACCACTGGACCTCAAGTCACATCGAGCTTGAAAGCAACCTTCAACTGGGCGTCGGGAGCCGTCTTCACCAGCAGAAACGGGGTACTTGACTCAGACACCGGTAGCGGTGAAGCCAGGACTCAGGGGATGTCGACCTCAATTGGGGACGGAGAAATAACGGAACAGCGGGACTTTATACCACTGGAAACCAATAGCAACCACAACAACCGAGCCTCTGGCAGGGGCGGTGTCGGGGGAGGGGGACAGCAGCAGAGCAGTGGGGTCGCTGTACTTTGGAGGGGCCTGACAGACGGACACCCCAACAAAAGGAAAAGAGACAATAAAGCTAGCACTTTCGGATTCAATTCCAGGCTCTTGAACAGCAGTAGCGGCTCCAACACGGGAATCCGTGGCGGACACC